CGCTTTAAACCCTTACCAGCGAGTATGCGTATTGATTTTAGAGAGAGAGGAAGGGCAGAGGGGTAGCCATCAATCTGTTTCCCCCCCTACAAATTCCCACCAGGGGTTAAACCCACAATTCAGATATGTACCCTGACTGGGGATCAAACCTGCAAGCCACACCAGCCAGCTCCATAATATATGTCTTTTGAGTCACCTATCTTCTATATTACTCACTGACTTTTTATTATTTTAAATAAGGATTTAAGTTTCTTGTGATACTATCCCCTCTCAATATGGTGATGACTATTATTAAATCAATATTCAGTGTTTACATTACATATCACCGTTGACCTATTTGCTCTAATTATGTTTCCTTTCTGTTTTCCTGGCATTAATGCTTTCTTGGTTTTTCTTCATTTGCTCAGTTTTTTTCGTGCTTATTGCCAACTCTCCCCAAATTTTCCATTAAAATTTCCAGTATAATTTTTCACGTCAGGTAACGTATCACTTCCCACTTTGGGACCCTCCTGTCCTTTCTGTCTGGACTACTGATCGTTAGGGGGGGTTGCACAGCTGTCACCTGAGACTTCCCTTTTCTATCACCCCTAGAATTTTCTTTCTTGTCCATTCTCCTGAGTTGAAGTCCCTGATCCCTAGATCTCAGGCCTTCTCTCTCTGAGTTCACTCTCTTGTTCTGTGCGGCACACCCATCAGCAGTTTTGTCCAGTTAAAAATTTGGTACAACGGCCAAGGGCTTGTTTCTTGAGACTTATCTAATTTTAACTCATTGCATTTTATCCCTGGGTTACCTATCTCCCTGAGTTAGCCCTGCACCATCTTTCTGAATGTTACCCTAACTTATTATCAGCATCCCATTTCTCCCTATTTCCTGGTTTTCCCCAGTATTTTAGGTAAACAAACTCTAAGAAAGGGAGCCTGGGAGGAATTCTTTGAGACTTGGTGTGTTTGAACATATCTTCAGCCACCCTCACACTTGACTGATAGTATAGAGCTCCCTTATAGCCATACTGCTCTCTCAGCTAGCTGTTCCTGGAACATGAACAATGCCCTTCTTAAGCTTTCTCATTTGCATTTGCTGCATGGCTAAACTCTGTCACCTCCTTCTGGTCTTGCTGAAATAGTATATTCTCAGGGACTACTCTATGTAAAATTATAACCCCAGCAGTCCCAGCCACTTTCCTGCTTCATATTACTTCTGTAGCACTTACCAGCATTCCTTATATGTTTTCCTTTATTTTTTTAATTAAAGATTTTATTTATTTATTTTTAGAGAAGGGAAGGTAGGGAGAGAAACAATGTGTGACTCCTCTCATGCACCCCCTACTGGGGACCTGGCCTGCAACCCAGGCATGTGCCCTGACTGGGAAACAAAACGGTGACCCTTTGGTTCGCAGGCCAGCACTCAGTCCACTGAGCCACACCAGCCAGGGCCCTTTGTTTATTTTGTTTATTTTCTATTGTCCTGTATGAGACAGTAAGCTCCTTGGAACCAAAATCTTCAGTTTTGTTCAATGATATATCCCAATACCTCAAATAGTGCCCAGCACATAGTAGGCTATCAATACCTATTTGTTGAATGAATGAATAACAAACACTTATGTTCTATCTCCATAATATGCCAAAAAGGAAGATAGTAACTTTCTTGTTATGATAAATAAGAACAGACTTGTTCAATATGGAATTAAAAACTTGTTGATTATACCGCTTGAAAATCAAAAGGAGATCATGGAATCTTTCTGTTTGGATTTTTAAACATAAAATAGGTAACCCCTTGATGGTTATGATTAGTGTATATGTACACTATATATTTGCGGCAAGATTTAAAATAGCCTTTCAGCTGCACTTGTCCTTCACACCTTTCTCATCTTCTGCTGGGCCTTCCTCTGTCTTCTGGTGGGACTCCTGGCTGCCCACATTGAGCCCATCTTCACCATTACTAGCTTGTCTCACTTTGGGCTTCAGCTAGAACCCAGTTCATCTACTTTGGTCTGAGCTATTTAACTGGGGCCTTTGCTTTTTGACAGGTCTCCTACCCAGAGAGTGACCAAAATAGCCTTTTACTCTGCATTCAAAAGCTGGGCTCCTAACCATTACCCCCATCTTTCTCACACATAAACATACCTCGCACCCTCACAGGAACCCACTCATACACACACCCAAACACAATGGCTAAAGAGCCAAGTTATTTTTAATCTGTTTATTTTGCAAACCTCATGCTGAAATGCATGGCCTTGGCTTTCAGGGCTTGGCTTCTCCATTGCAGCATAAAAGCGTCATGTTCAAATGACCTGTGTCACTGCCATCTCTAATTTCTACATATGAATCTGATAAAAACTTAATTATGTAACATACATTCAAGTGGTAAGGTTTAGATGATATTTTTACTTCCAAAGAATTGATTATGGCCTTTGTAGTTTCAATATCAAGCCAAGAAAGTGTGGGAGTCTTCTAAAATCATATTTAAATAGGGATTCTAGACTCAGCAAAGAAAAATATAAGATACCCAGTTAAATTTGAATTTCAGATAAACAACAATTAATGTTTCTAGTCTAAGTACATTCCAATGGGAATCCTGTATTTTATCTAGCAACCCAACATTTAAATAGCCAACTGTTCTTATCAGTAAAATAAATTGGACAGGTTTATTGTTAATGTAAATGATTAATGTTAAAATGCTACAAAGAGAATTAGAAATTCATTTTTATTTGTGTATGGCATGAGACAGCAAGTATTTTAATCTGGCTAAAGTCTATTTAGGGATAAAGGTGTGAGCCAGGAGCTGCTGGCCCAGGGCCAGAACAAAGGTGTCTGTCGGTAAGCTTCTTCCCTGATCCCTATCATCTGGAGCAGCAGAGAGCACAGCACAGGAACACAATTCACATGCATTTCCCCAAGGCATGAAGAACTCAAATCGCATCATGGCTTACACCTGAAGCCTTTAAATTTACTCATCCCAGATCCTTCCATGGATGTCTTAGTCTGCTCAAGCTGCTACAACAAAATATGTTAGACTGGGCAGCTTCAACAACAGAAATTTACTTCTCCCAATTCTGGAGGCTGGGAAGTCCAAGGTCAAGTTGCCAGCTGATTTGGTTCCTGGTGAGGGCCCTCTTTCTGATTTGCAGACCAATGCCTTGTTGCTGTATCCTCACGTGGCACAGAGAGAGATTATAAATGCACTAATCCCATTAATGATTCCAATTACCTCACCTCCAGATACTTTCACAGTGGAGATTAGGAGATTCAATGTATGAGTTTGGGGAGGATACAAACAGTCCATAGCAATGGAGATTTGAATAAAACTACAAGCATATCCAGAGAGGTCTTGGATGTTGGGAAACATCATCGCTGACAGCTGAGTGAATATAAGGGTAGGCACACCCAGGCACCCTCCCAAGGCGAGAGAAAAGAGGGTGCTTCTCTGAAATCTGGGTATAGTTCACCAACAGGCAGGTTTTATTTTAAGAAACTAATAAAACTAATATGATTCCACCTCTCCGAGCTGTTTATCACTTGAAATTTCAGTTTGGGTGACTGTACTCAGTAAATTAGCTGACTGAGAGTTCAAAGATTGTATCTGCATCCAGACAGTTTATTCATCATGCTTAGCATTTAGATTTCAGTACAGCTTTCCCACATATTTGCCAAAATATCACCGAAGTAATCAGAAAAAGCTCCCTGTTTTGATTTACTTAATGTTTTAAATATTGCCAGTGGCTGTGGATTTAAGTTTATTGGAATATTTTAATAACTCACCAATCTTTCTATCTGATAGTTTCATTTAACCACTTTTTAAGTTCATAAACACTTTTTATGATTTTAATTTTGGACAAAATGTGAGTGGACTTGAGTAGTTCAATATGTACTTACCAAGAAAACAGTGCAAAATGGTGGTAGAAATTATCAAGATATAATCCTGTAAATATGACAAAACCTTTAAATATTATCAAATATGTAGCAAGTTGTATGGTCAATATAAAGTTCAAATTATGTGTGTAGATAACATGTTCACTCTTTCATTTTGCAAATTGGCAAGATGTTCAGTCAGATTGTACCATTTTGGAAAAGCATAATTTAAATTTTAATTTTTAAAACTATGAAAATATAACTGGGATCGATGATGACTCCCTCAAATGCATTAAAAACATATATATAACTGGGATCCTCCAAAAATCCAACTGAAGGCAATACAAGCCTGCATGATTGGAAAGTAAATAAAATTTCTGGACCAAAATCGCCCGGCTGGTTGTCTGGAAGTTCCAGGTGGGGATGTGAGATCCAAATTTAGTCAGTGCCACCCACGGTTTGGCATCACCTGGTGACTTAGTCAGTTTTTACCACCTGGTTCCTAGATGCCCTGTCTGGCTGAGTGTAATTCCAGAAATTGCAGGTAATTGGTAATTTTTCAGTCTCATGCATCTAGAAGTTTCAAGCCAGAATAAAGCGAACTCAGGAGCCACCTGCTGTCTCCCTGGGTTTAGACACGGGGCTGCCTGCCCTTTCGGTATCAATTTCTTATTTTTCAAAATATGACATTAACATAATCAATGTACCTAAATGCTATTTTTTTAAGTTAAGTTTAACTTCGGATATTTTTTTCCTATTGTTTGGGGGACTGCTTAGACATAATGAATGGTCTCAGGATCTTTCTCTGCAGGCAGTTCTTTGTCTCCTCCTTCTGTGGCCTCTGCCTCCCTGTCAGACACTCTACCTTTCTTTACTGCATCAAGCAATTTCCCCAGTGACTGATCAAAGTGCCACAGACATAATGTCCATCGACCAGACAGTACTGGTCCCAGGGCTAACCATCCCCACTGATGATTATTTGGCCATCAGCCAATCGGCTCTGGCAATTTCACATTTGCCTGCATCTTCAGAAGACATCAGGTTGAGCACAGGCAGCCAAGATCTAGTCCAAGACTTAGATGAAATGGATCTATCTAACACTCCCGCCTCCTCTGAGGTACCAGGATTTAGTGGCTATGTTTCCATCCCAGAACATTTGTTGGAGAAGACCACGCCTGTCCCAGCTTTGCAGTATATCACCACCAGCTCTGTGACCATCGCTGCCAGGGACCGAGAGTTGGTGGTGTTCTTCAGCCTGCGGGTGGCTAACATGCCCTTCTCCGATGACCTGTTCAACAAGAGCTCTTCGGAGTACCAAGCTCTGGAGCAACAATTCACACAGCTGGTGAGTGGGCACGAATAATTCTCTGCATGTCTCTTCTTTCTCTTCCTGTTGTATAATATATAATACAATATAATCATGTATAATGCAATCATTGGTTGTCTTGAGCAATGCAGGTTGAAAGAGGCAAGCGTCTGACATACTGGCCGCTGGCGGCATTCCGCTAGAGCGTTGAGATGGATTTAGATCTGAGAAAAAAGCGGGTTTTCTGGTGGACACATGAGCAGACACTGCCGCCAGCCTCCTGGGAACAAACTTATCCTGTAGATCTTTTCATTATAGTTCTTCCTAATTTATTTTCCCAGGAATAACACATAGCCATTCAAATTTTGAACTTGAGGTTTAGAAACAATATCCTATGATATCATGTCACAAGCTGTTTCCCAGCCATCTGACCAAAAAGTGCTCAAAGCTAGAAAGGCCCAGCACAGAAGCCAAGAGCTCAAGTGTAAAGACTCTTTTCTCAGTTCCTGGCAAGGTTGTTTAAAACAAAGAAACAAACAAAAAAAATTGTTAAATGGCTTCATTCCTAACCCCTAACAAAGAAAATGCGATTATCATGACTGCATATATCTTTGATTATAAAACAGCCCCCCAAACTCACAGAGCTGTTTTGTTTCTACGTGTGCAATAACAAATGAATGTGCAATGAGAAATACTGAAACACATGATAACTCTATACAGTCAATGTCAATTGAAGTCAAGTTCACAACACATATAAACAGTGGAGAATTTCTGAAAATAACAGAAAAATGTTTGTAAGCATCACATAAGTTAAATCATTATATAAATTAAAGCCACTAGGACTATTCTTCCAGTGAATGTTAAAAGAAGATTTTGTACCATCTGACCTCCACCAGCACCCACGATGAGATGAGTAGGTAAGCGGGACAATCTCAGGGAATGGAGTGCCAGTGGACCCAGCCCAGGGGTATTCATTAGGGTGCGTGCTAAGCTGACATAATGGAGAGATCTAGAATACAGTAACTTCAATAAGATACAAGTTGAATTTTCTTTCAATTAGTGGGTGGGACAGCTCTGTCATCCAGTGTCACCCAAGGACCCATATTCCTTCCATCTGGTAACTCTGCCAACCCCTAGGGTGTTTCCTCATCCACACAGTCAAAGCTGGATCACTGGTACAAGCCTGCTGCCACCTGTGAGAAGGGGAAAGAAAGAAAGCCCAGGGCAAGCAATTTCCTAAGTAAGTGATACCGAACTTACTCACATCTTTCCATTCATGTTCCATTGGTGGGAACCAGTCACATGGCCACACCTTGCAGCAAAGGTGGCTGGGAAATGTGGTCTCTGACTTGGCAGCCTCTTTTTTATGAAAAAGAGGAGATGGATTTTGGAAAAAGGAGCAGCTAGTCATTTGCACAGTAAGTGAAGGCAGGGAATTCCCACCAGAGTTCCAAGTGATGCTAACACACCAAGAGTGAGTAGGCAAAATCACAAGAAAGTAGATTGAAAAAAGATGTTCCAAGCTCTTTGTAACATTTCATTTTATTTATTTATTTGCATTTTTACAGTAACCTTGAGGGTTAGGGCAATATACAGAAATGTAGGTCAGGACCAGAGTCAAAATTCCGGTAGGGCAGGGACAGGGACAAACTCAAATGGGTCTGGGCTAAGCCCGGGAGGTGGCAGCTTGCATCTGCGTGCTCCCTGGGCTCACAGGTGCAGTGCGTGAGTGACTGGCTCACTTTCAGGGCCAGGAACAAGGTGGACATTGCCAAGTTTCACACTTTTCCGGAAAGAGGTCTCAAGGACGGCTCTGGCTCACAGAGGCAGGTCGGTGTGAGAGCCTGAAGCACAGTGCCTGGAGCACACTTTTGATATTACTAAGTTTTAGTCTGGAAAAGGTCCTTAGGAAACCACTTTTTCTTCTCCCTCAGTTCAGGTAAGGGCAGCAAGTTACAACACAGTGGCTAAGTGTCCTGAGGGAGCCCCGCACAGCCAGTTAGGCTGCCTGCTCTTTCCACTGCACCCCATCGGTGTCGGCTGGGAAAGGAGTCCTGCCTAAACAGACAAGCTGATGTTTAAGCTATTGTGTATTTCAACAGCTCGTTTCAAATTGGTTGCTTCCAAATAGACATCCATTTACACAGGCATAAGGCAGTCTGCTCCTGGGCTCAGTTTGGAACATGTTTTTATTTATGTGGATTTTAAAAGAACACAAAAACCTGAATCTGGCATTCCTACTTTGCTGATAGCATTGGCCTGAATTTTTTAGATTCTCATTCTCACAATTCATTATGAAGAAAACCATTGACCATCCATCTCAATACACAGATAGAAATGTGGAAATATAGGACATAATCATGGCAAATAGATCATTAGACAGTGGTGTCCTGGTCTCACCTGAAACCGAATCACACAAAAATAAACAACTAAATAATAAGGCATGGAAATTCATGCCTCAGAAAGTGAAAAATGAGTATAAATGGAATTAGCAGCAGCTGAGCTCTTAGAACACCCTAAAGAGTAAACTGTCTTCTATTTTGCAGCTGGTTCCATATCTACGATCCAATCTCACAGGATTTAAGCAACTTGAAATACTTAGCTTCAGAAATGGGAGTGTGATTGTGAATAGCAAAGTGAGGTTTGCTGAGTCGGTGCCGTACAACCTCACCAAGGCTGTGCACAGGGTCTTGGAGGATGTTCGTTCGGCTGCAGCCCATCTACTTGGTCTGGAAATAGACAGCTACTCCCTCAACCCAGGTAAAAGACTTCAATTCAGAAACATGGGGGGCGGGGGTTGGGGATTTTGTTTGTTTGTTTAAGCTTACAGTTCACCTTTGAGTCACAAAAGTCAAATTAAAATTATACTTGATGAGATAACCTTTTATAACGCATGGATCGCCTTATCAAAAAGGTAGGGTTGTAAAGACAAGCAGGTTAAAGTTTTCCCACCTCAGAAAAAAGCAAAGAACGAGTACACCTCTTGCTTCACAAACTGAGAGCTTTAATTTCCCCTCAGAGCAAATTTTTGCAGTGCTTAAGAGATTTTTCTTTTTAATAAAGCCACAGCCACACTAATTTACATTCTGCTAAAAGTCAAAAGCACCTTCTCAGTGAACCACAGCACCTGGGGTGTTCCTGCTTAAGAACCCTGCCTCTCACAGTTACCCAGGAATCGTCTCTTCACAACTCAGGATGACACTGAGACAGCATCTTGAGGGGAAAGGTAATCACAGGACCAAAATTCGAACTTGGATGAAAGGCTCTTCACCCATGGTGAAGGAAAGAAGAAAATAACGTCCCTCCGGTTTGTGTCCCCTAGACCAGCTCCCTTTGCAGTTTAAAACAAAGAGCGGTTGAACATGAAGAAAACTCTTTACCAAGATGGAGGCTCACCCCAAAGCTGTACAACAGAAAGCAAACACTTATTCTGATAATAAAGCAGAGTGTAAGTACCACTGTAACCAGAGGGCCGTAATTGGGAACTATTTCCACCATTCTATTTTCTAAACAGTTGAACAATTTCTGTTTTTTCCTCCCTGAAGGGCAAGGGACCCCGGCCCCAATCTGGTACAGTGCACCCCTCCCATCAGGTCAAAACAAAGCTTCCTAGCAGCCTACGCAGTAGTGAAGTGAATCTTGAACATTCTCCTAGGCTTTCTATAGACCAGCAATGAAGGCAGAGCCAAAGGCCTTGGGCAAAATCCAAACAAAAGGCCTCAGCTGGGAGACACTTATCTTTGACCAAGCAGGACAGAGGGAGAAGGGGGTGGGGGGTTTGGGGTTGGGGGGGGGGGTGGGGCCAGGGGGGTGGGATGGGAAAAATAGACAAAAAACTTATCTTTTTTAAGAAAATTGCTTCCTACCTTATAAATAGGTTCATTAAAATGACAGACTGCCCTGAGGCACTGAGCCTGGGAGTGTTTACCTCTGAACTGGTGGCTGAGGAGGCCCTCTGGCTCCCTTAAGAAATCAAAAACCTACTAAAACAGGAGTAAAATACTGCCTGCCCCCCTGAAAACTTCCTCAGAGCTAAAAAAGAAACCAGGGGTCCTTGCCAGTGAAGATCAGGAGACCAGTTTCTCCAGTCATTCGAACAGGATAACAGTGGCGTGTACAGGGAGGACTGGGAAAGGATAGGGGAGGGGAGAGCCCAATCCCCTCCCTTGCTGACTTCCGTGGGGAGCTCAGTTTACTTAGAGACCCATCCGACAACATGAGAGAGTAAACGCAAGGGGCTAAGTTGAGTCAGGGGAGAACTCAGGGTGCTGCCCTGGGGACAGGATTCTCAGTGTAGGTGCCACTTAAGTACACCTTAGAAAGAGGCCAGGAAGCTGGTACTGTATTGCTGGGGATATATAAGTGACCCTGGTGATGTGAGAAAAAAATCACAGAATAGCATTGCCCTTGGAAGGCCATAGACCCTAATGTGAATCCCAGGTGCTAACAGCAGCACTCAATTCCCATGGCTGAACAATGGAAATAGTAACAGGAGTAAGAATTAACTAAAATAATAGAGCTGTTGTCCCTCACTATCCGTGGGGGATTGATTGCAGAAACCCCAACCGCCACCCCTGCCCCACTGAGTGTTAGCACATGACCTTGCACATCCTCGTGCATGCTTTAAATCACCTCTGGGTTACTTACAATACCCAATCCAAGGTAATGTTATGTAAGTAGTTGTTATACTATATTATATAGGGAATAATGACAAGCAGAAAAGTCCATATATGTTCAATACAGACACAACCATTGCAGGCCTAACCATGTAGACAGAGTATTATGTCAGCAACAACATAACTTTTTAAAGAATATTTTCTATTCAGGGTTGGTTGAATTCATGGGTGCAAAACCTGTGGAAACATAGGAGATTGTATTTACAACACTTAACACTCAACGACTGCAGTTGACTAATAAATATTTAGTTACTATTACAACATTGTCATTATTAACTAACAATCTGTGACCTGTGTGGGTATCAATGAGAACAATAAAAAATACCATGACAAGACATTTGGGTGGAGGTTGGAACTGAAATTATTTTCACTGATTTCTTGCATGAGTTCAGCTATGTAGCTTTCCTCTAAGGAGCCAATAGCAGCAGAAATGAGTTGGTGCTAACCTCAGCTCCAGTCCCTGCTGGAGCCAAATTTATGCTGAGCTACCCAAAAAATGCCCCCAGGGTGCCTAGCACGCCCCATCTATCTTTCATGGTGGAGCAATAGGGGTGCCAGAGTGTGCTGGACACCCTGAAAAATTACCTTACTCTATTTCCTACCAGATACTTGGAGAGTGAGAAAAATCTGAATTCTTTTTGTTTTTAATTAATTTATTTATTTATCTTTAGAGGGGAAGGGATGCAGAGAGGGAGAGAAACATCAATGTATGGTTGCCTTTCGCGCATCCCCTGCTGGGAACTGGCCTGCAGGGAACTGGTCTGCAACCCAGGCGTGTGCCTGAATTCTTAATACCTAGAAAATTCATGGAATGAATGAATGAATGAATGAGAGGGGCCTGCCAAGAAATGACCACAGCGGGCCAGCTACAACATGAGTAATGCCTGAATCACGAGGCTTGATTGAGCACAGCAGAGTTAGAAAGCCAAACGTGGATTTTCTAAAAGTTAAAAATATACAACAATGAACTTTATTCATTTCTCTATATAAATCAGAATAGATAAATCCAATATCCAAAAGAGTTTCTATTTAGAGCCAACCTGCCTCCAAAAGTGTTTCATCCAGTCAACAAGGGGATGGGGGTGTGGGGCGTAATGAGCAAGCAGGGAGGGACAGGTAAGGTTTAAGGGGGCTTCCCAACTCACAGCTAGGGCTCCTGGTTTAGTTACTTCTCCCAAGGCAAAGGGTAGATTCACCCACTTATTACCAGCAAGTGTTTGATGGTTCAGCCTTGACCATCGTCTACATGCTTAACACAATGCACTAGACACTCCTCGACAACCATGTAAAGCGTTAATGTACAAAAGTTAGTTACTGCCCAAACGATCTTCCAATGTGGCCCAAGAGGGGCACCTTAGAAGGATGCTGGGATAAAGCTATGCCATGTTCATGCAAAAAAAAACCTCTAACGAGAGCTTTCTCCTATCCCACACTTAGTTGCAAATTCCAGTGAGTCTGGGAGTCACTGAGAGGTCCCATACTGAAGAAAGCTCTGAGCTTTCCTAAAATTCCACTTTATTGAGTCCTGGTGCCTGGTCAGAAGAGAGAATGTAATGGCAGAGATGAATACACAGAAAACTCCAGTCCGTCTGCGTGCGACAGCCAGGAAGACAGCCGGCACTGTTAAGGAAACAGTGATTCAGCACCTGTTAAGGACAATCTTGATGGGTGTAGGGACCACTGCAATGGGTGGGGGAGAGGGAGTCGACTGAAGTTGGTATACAGCAATTTATAGGGACCTTATAGCCAAGTTGCAGGGAAAGGGTCAGTGGATAGAAAACTACTGAAAAAAACATCAGGTGTATTGGGGGCATCTGTATAAACTGACCCAAACAAATTTTTGAGGAAGGCGGGCTATGGTGAGCAGACATCACCAGGGAGATGGTGGAGGATAAAGGAACCCAATTAGGTATCTAGGGTGATCAGACATGGAGGATGGAGGATGAAGGATGGGGGGGGGGGTGGGGGGGTGTAGCTAAACAGCCTTAGCAGGACTCTTGCTAAACCTGAGCAATGAAGGGACCAGCCCTGAAGTCCAAAAGTGGAGGCTGAGCAGAAAATGTCAGGGGCACCCGAGGAGACCTTGATCAAGCAGACAGTCTCTGGCAACACTGAGCTGCAGAGGCAGGACACCAGCCATGCAGGTGTCGGCGGCAGCAGCTTGAGCTACTATTGAAGGGTGGTGGCTGCTAAGAGGAAGGTGGCCCCCCAAGAGTGAGCCAAGATCAGGGGCCCACCTGGACCCAGATTCACAAGCACCCTCGGCCACCCCTACCACAGCACGCATGGCCTCTCCCTCCTGTTTGCGGCCTGTTCCGACCCAGGCAGAGACAGAGCCAGACCGAAAACCCAGGGCCCTCACCCCCACTGCTTCTGAGCACGGCTGATTAATTTCTTACTTTTGTGAATCTGCATATTTTCTACAACTTCTTGAACCTGAAATTTAAAATGTCACTCTAAAAAAAAAAACCCATAGAGTTGCAGTCAAGTGTTTTCTAGCATTAGTTCTCTATTACAATTTTAGTTACAGGAAATATGTACAAAATTAGTATTTTGATTATGTAAGAAATGGGTGCCTAGATTTTAAAATGAATTAAGGAAAATATGCAGATAATTTTTAGTAGGCTTTTTTCCTAAAAAAAAAAAAAAAAAAAACCTAGAACATGACAGCTGTTTTGCTCCCCATTTTGCAGTGTGACTGAATGACGCAGGTGTTCTCCTTTTGGTGGGGTGTTTGAGTGTAAGCTGTCAGAGTGATTGGCAGTCAAGCTGATTCAAATATCCTCCTAGTATAGCCAACCAGTGCAACCAACTTATCACGCTGCCTCTCAGGTCCCTGAACCCCAAATGAAGATAATTACTCCAGTTTCCCAGAGAACAAGGACTCAAACTCCAGCATATACAGCCCCTGACTCTACCACTGGAGTGGTCTTGCCCAGAGTCTCAGACTTGGGCAGTGCCATCCCCCAGCATGCAGGGAAGGAACTAAGGGGTCCTCATACCCAAAACCCTAGATCATACCAGGTCACTTCAGCAAATGCAAGAGACCTCCCTGCTTCACATTTGATCTTGCCAGCCTTTGCT